TATATATATATATATATATATATATATAAAATCATGTGCATTTTAGCTTATATTACTACCTTGAAATACTTATTCAAATTCATCCTGCTGCACCGTTATATTCTACCATGTTGTTGTTCACTATCTTTCTTTAGGCCGTTGTGAATATTATAATTACTTTTTCACCATTTGGTACGTTATTATTTTACCTTTATTGCATGCTTTCCGTATTTCTAGTTAGTTTGTTCTTTGATGTTTTTGCGAGTGAAATTGGTTCTTCTTATCCTAAGCATTTCATTGTATTGTTAACCTTGTGTTAACCTTGTGTTAACCTTGCCTATCACAATTAAACACAACTTGAACTTGACGTGTGTGTGTGTGTAGTGATGTTTGTCTGTTCCACTGCGACCACCACCAACGGCTTTAAGGCCGTCTCAAAGCATCCTCTGTGAAGGTGTCGTTTACCAAGAATCATAAAATTACTTCCAGCTCGACTGGCCGGGAGAGGAGATCTGAGGATTTCTAAATGGAGACGTTTTAATCTGCCTGCAGGTTAATTAGGCTTTTAAAATGAGACCAAACGAATGAATTTATTGACTGGAAGTCAACGCGGCTGCAGCATCCGTCAGATAAAAATCTGTCACCTTCCTGATGATGGGACGCTCTTTAAAATCCACTCTTCCTTCATGGAGCCGACACTGCAGGTAAGCAGTGACACAAACACGCAAATACTGATTTAACCAGAGTTAAAGAGTTATTCTGCATGTGGAACAGTCCGCTTCAAATCCTGCGGCTTCAAAACCATTTCCTGCTTGTCCGTAAGAACACGGACTCAGGAAAGATTCTGTTTAATTCATTCCATCCATCCATCCATCCATCATCTTTGCATACTTCTTCCTTTAGAGGTCATGGGGGTCACTGGTGCCCATATCCAGCCATCACTGTGCGAGAGGCGGGGACACCCTGTAATTTCTGTCCAAAATAAATACAGGCCACTTAACGAACGGCTTAATTATGAAGAAAAGTTCACTTTTTGGCACTAGATCAGCCACATAATACTAATCTAAAAAAAATTAAATCTGGTCCTCTGGACATTCAAAAAAATGTCCAGAGGACCAGATTTAACTTTTTTAGATTTTTCTACCTGGATTATTGAGCATGCATCTGCACATAATACTAAGTTTTAACAACAATTAATGCCTCGTTAACGGTAACAAAACTTGCCTTTTTGCCAGCAGTAAACAAAATTCAATCGCAGAAAAACAACTTTTACTGAACCGTGGAAGGATTTTACAGTCTGACTTACAAAGATCCAGTTTCTCCGTTGTACAAAATGTATCTCAATGTTTTAATATTTTCAGACATTCTTTACAGACTGGTGAACCTCTGCCCATCTTTACTTCTGAGAGATTCAGCCTCTCACTTTTAATACCATCTTTATTCATCTGTTGCTAATTAAACTAGCCACAAAAACTTTCTTTGGCTGTTTTTACAAGCTGTTGCTACCACGTCCCAACTTTTATGTGTTGATGCCATAAAATGTAAGATGGCCTTAATATTTCTAATGAAATTTGCAATTTCTTAGGAAAAACATTGTGTTAAAAATATTTTATGCTGTGAATTAAATATGGGTTTAAGAAATGTGTGAATTATTTTAGTTTTTAAATTTACATTTTATGTCTAAACTGTTTGGAATCCTGCTCATAATACTAATAATAATTAAAAAAAAGATGTTAGTCTTTATGAAAATACTCACCAGCTGTTCTCAGACACTGCTTTGTGTCTGAAATCTATGAACAACATATTTACCGGCTTTTGACTAATTACTGCCACTAATCTTCCAATTGTCACTTTTTTAGACAAAAGTAATGTTTACTAATTGTATCCGCCAGAACAGTCAAATCCCCAAAAATACAAATTTTCTAAGAATAATAATAAAATAAAAATGTTCAAGTTCAAGAATCTTTATCAGCAGCAAGGGGCAATTTGTTTCACAGTCAGTTGGCAGAAAACATCCATCGACTTTAAAACAACATTACAGAAATGATCGCTGTTCGTTGAGAAGCCTGATCTCTACAGGGATGAATGAGCTTTTCACTCTGTTCGTTCTACATCTGGGCAGGGAGGCAACCTGAACTCACCATGGAGTGGTGATCAGGATCTGCCAGAATCATTCTGGCCTTGTTCACAGACCTCACCTTGTGCAGGTAATAAAGTTATAGCTTTACAATAAAGCTCCTTAGATTTACAGTATTCAGGTTATGGAAGCTTCTTAATGCTTTAAACCTGTCAGAGACATGTTTCATAACACCGGACTAAGTAACTCGTCTTCTCTGGTTGTTGGAACTTGGAGCCAGCAGGACCAGGTTTTTGGAGGCTGCCATGTTGTAGTTTTTGGACCAGCATCTGCACACTTTGGATGTGGGACTTTAAATCCCACCTTCTCCCCGGTACACCATACTTGAGCAACAAGACTTCTTGAAGCATGAAAAACTAATCATTGTAAAAATGAACATTAGAACATCCAGCAGATAAGACTCCATAAAAGTCAAAACCTGAGGAAAAAAAAGGTTTTGTTTTCCTTATATGGAAGGTTCAGGACTTAAAACTTGTACCAGGACCATCCTGTTGGGATGCTGGACTCGCTGCAGCTCCACCTCTGGGATATACGCAGTCACCCCTGGAAGGAAAGTTATTTTGAGGGTCGGGAACTCACAGCAGGCCTGAAAAGTCCCAGTAATGTCTTCTGACTGTCCTACTCCACCGTATTGCTGCTCAGCCTTTATAGCAGTACACTCAATCATTGCCTCTTACAGCGGCAGCCCACAGAGAAGCTGCAGCGCGAACTGGAGTCCTGCCAAAGGGACTGTCCGTCCACGGGGGGGGGGGGGGGACTGTGTGAGTGTGTGAATAGTGGCGTCTGAGGCCATGTTGCCTCCTGAGACAATCAAATCCACGGTGACAGCAAGTGGGCAAAACAAAGAGCCATTCTTCTCTCACAATCCAGCTACTTTCAGGCTGTCAGAGTCAAAGACAAGGACTGCACACAAAGAAAACTGAGGCGTGCGGTAGATGGAGGGAAAATGAGCTCCAGCAAACCTGGTGTACCTGGGTGGGAACATTTTAAAATAGTGTAGCCACACAGAAACACTAGTTCTGGACAACTACACCAATTACTCAGGTTCTTGCTCAAGTTCTCCACTTAAGCCCAATTTCATGCTAAATGCCGTTTAAGACCCAAAACATGGGGGAAGGGTGATTTTAAATCAATCCAAGCCATCTGTCACGTCAGCGCTGCGGCAGCCGTCGCTGCAACCATAATGTGCAAAGAACCTTTCAGTGTGACATTCAGTGAAGATGTCTGGGCTGACAGGGCGGCACCGGGCGCAGAGCCAGAACCGTACAAACTCACACAGCTCCGTTTTATGGACAGGACAGAGTCCAAGACCCACAGGGGCAGAAAACCCTGATCAGGATTCCACAAAAGCTCTCAAGAAACTGTGAGGTGATGGAATCGAGATGCAAATTAAAGCTTGCTTTACCAAAATCAAACAACGGGAGCTCAAAGAGCCGACAGATACACAGAGGGATCCTGACGGAGCTCTCCTTCACAGTCAGTTCAAAAAGTGAGGCCTTTAAATTAAGAGGACCCCCTTCCCTGCAGTTAGCGTCGAGTTGATTTAGAAGAAGCCTGCTCAGCGTCTCTGCAGTCAGGAGAGCTTAGTGCAACAAACTGAACAACAGCTGAGTCATGCCCTGACTCATGTCTCTCAGATAGTTTCCCCCCATGCAATTCTTACATTACGCATGACAGTGCTGTGTAGTGAACCAGATGACCTCAAATCTACCAGATGGACAGAGACTGTTATTTTCATTGCACTGAATAAGTCTGGGCCATCTGATGAACTTTCTTTCTTGAATTAATCAAGCAGAAAAGACAATCCTCTATAATCATTACTGTTTTACAAATGTTTTGATAATCAAATTGTGTTAGTTCACTCAATGCTTTACAGGTTGAAAAGAACTACTCATTTTTATTTTACATAAACAGTAAGTAATGATTTTTATTCCTCATTCAGAGAAGAAATCACCTGAATAAGCATTCCTTGATTTTCTGTCTGAAATGAGCAAGCTGTCGTAAGTGTGTGAAAGGTTGGTTTTCGGTCAACTAAAATGTTTACCGAGAAAAATGTCATGTTTAAACTTTTTCAGAAGATTACCAAGAGTTGACTCCATGAAGTCTGCTGTTGCTGCAATAATCTTTTCTGTATGTTAAACAAATTTCATTCTCTGACCTCGACTGTTGATAAACACCTTACGTCAAAACCACTCCTCTTTCTGGTCCTTCCACGAATCAGAAAGCTCTAAATTGAACAGGAAGTAAACTCATTTAAAAATGTGACAACTTCCCAGTT